TATGAATCAACTAGGACTAGTTTAAATACAAATATGAATCAACTAGGACTAGTTTAAATACAAATATGAATCAACTAGGACTAGTTTAAATACAAATATGAATCAACTAGGACTAGTTTAAATACAAATATGAATCAACTAGGACTAGTTTAAATACAAATATGAATCAACTAGAACTAGTTTAAATACAAATATGAGTCACCTAGGACTAGTTTAAATACAAATATGAGTCACCTAGGACTAGTTTAAATACAAATATGAGTCACCTAGGACTAGTTTAAATACAAATACGAGTCAGCTAGGACTAGCTTAAATACAAATTTAATCAGCTAGGACTGGCAATACAAAATAAAGAGGCTTAAGAAACAACCATACCCGTGATTCCAAAACTATTACTTCCATTCCGAATTGTTGAAGCTGCTGTGCAGCTGCTAAGCCTGAAATTCCTGCTCCAATCACAATTACTTTTCCATGCTTCTTCACTACACCAAAGAAGATTAAATGTTCAAATAAGTTTCTGTCAACTAAATAGCTATGAATTGGGTAATTAAATATAAGTTACAGAAAACAAAGATTCCAATAAAAGAGGAAAATTATAAATCTTTTTAAAATAGTGTATTATTTATCACCCTAACTTGAAATTACAAACAGTGATATAATTTTTTTACCGTCACCTAGTCAAACGTTTTAATTTTTTTTACTAAATGCACCGATTTTGACCTGAAAATTTACTCCACAGATTACATATTGCTCAAAAAACAGGATGGCATATGAAAAACCTTGGTGTAGAGAAGATCCATCCCCCATTTCTTTTCTGTATTTGCAAATATATATAATACTCTGCAGATTTTTATAACAATAATAAATTTAAATGTAATATGGAAAACAAAATATGTTGAAAATAATCTTAAAAAAAGAATGACATTACTATAAAATATACTCTTAAGTCAAGTACAGCCAAAATATAGGTTATTGTTTGTCCAGTGAATTTTTACTTTTAAATAAAAGTTCAGATCTCAAAGTTATCAATATTTAATTTTGTATGTTGTAGTTGTCATACAGCACAAACCAAGACACAATCTCACAAAACCTGCATACGCTACTTAGAAAGATTTGAAGAATTCTAGTCACTTTGACCTGCAACAAAACAGCAAAAATATGTAGAATATTTCCACAACAAGAACTGAAAGCTTATTCGTCACTTTACAATATCAAGCTTTACAGCATAAGTTAAAATATTAAGACTTCAAACATCTTTCTGAGAGCAATTTCAATGACAAAAACCCGAGTTTGCAAATTTATGATAAAATTTTAGGACTGGAATACAGCTTTGACCCTGAGATATTTAACAGAAATAAAAGTTTTACACACATTAATCTTATTCAGCATATGGCTATCAGTTTTTTCTCCATTGTAATTTGTCTATTCATACTGATATATATGAAAGGAACGAACAACACGAGCTTATCTAAAGCACTATCATAATGCTTTCCTCCCATCACATTTCATGCAATCTTCTGTAAATATTTCTTTTTAATATAAATTAGATGAAAGAGCAAGTCAGTAATAACCTACCAATTCTTATAAACTTCCACCACTTGCTATAAGTTTTCAAGAAACAATAAACTTTATCCATCACATTTTTAAAAACCTTAACCATAGCTTTGTTAAAGTTATGATTTTTTATAATAAATGAGGCTTTTAATTTAATTTATGGGCATGTTTAAAATATCAGTAATCACTGATTAATTCAGCATAAATTAAAAGTAATAACAATCATGTTCTCAAAGAGTGACGAAGCTTAAGCATCCTGTACTATACCTGGCAAGGGTTTCAGCCTTTCAAAGACACCAAAATTAATGTAGCCATGTCTTTCAAGGTAAGCATGGATTCTCATAACCATAGGCCCATCACCTGTAAAACAGAGTTCACTACTGAAAAAAGAGCATCATATCATTTACAGAACAGACAGTGTCTACATAGCATATGATAGTATACATTTTAGCACAATATGATGTGCATAATATTTATATTTGTTGAAATTATCTGACAAATTAGGCAGATAAAAATACCACTACAAGTGCTAGCTTTTGTTTTAAATGGAAACAAAGCTATCCAACATATTTCAAATTATCCAGTTTTACAAAAAAAAAAATATTTACATGATTAATGAAATTTAATTTGCCACAAAAGTATAAACAAATCTAGATTGCTGTTGGTGTATTTAAAAATTTTTCTACTTTTTCTTTCAAAATATAGAATTCTTTATAATTTTCTGTTTCATTGATACTGTTGCAGCTAAATGCTCAAAGTAACAAATGATTACTGAATTCCTGTGCTGTTTAAGAAACTAATTTATGGTTATTTTAGTAAAATGGGTTAAAATATAAAAATTACAATTAAATTTCTTCAATACTTCAATGACCTTTAAATATTCATTTAAAAGTTATTCTGTATCAGTACTTAGTAATAAGTATATTTATAGCCTAATTTAATATCTCTTAAACTAGCCTGGGCTTCGCATGGCCTCGTGGTAAGAGCTCTCAACTTGCAATCTGTGGGGCCAATATAATGTGATAGTCAATCTTACTATTCTTTAGGGAGTAGCCCAAGAGTTGGCAGTGGGTAGTGTTGACTAATGCCTTTCATCTAGTCTTTTAGTGCTAAATTAGGGATGGTTACCAGGAGAGAAGAGTACCACCAGGTAAGTCTGTCTGAGGATCACATACGATGCATCAGCATCTAAAGCACCCCAACAGTGATAAACAGCCTCAAGACTTGTAAAAAAAAACTAGTCAGATTTTGAAAGGCATTATCAGGATTAAAAACGAAAATTTGGAAGTGTACCCAATTAACTCTTTCAGCACTGGCTCAGTTCC